TTTACGTTCACAAGCCTGGCATGTTCACAAGCTTTCTGATTCGATGGGTGCCAGTTTCGAATATCGTTTGACACAAGGAGTCAGAGATTCTAATCAGAAATGCTGGGAATATTCTCAAGATACTACGACTTTGTTGGCATTTGAACCATTCAAAAATACACTGGGACGTGCAGAAGATGATGACAGATTTTGAATGTTCTCAAATCGGAAATCGAAACGACGGGTGTGCTCCAAGAGGCCCACCGCGCGGCGAAGGAAGAGACGCAGACGCGGCAAGGGACGAGTCGCAGCGCGTGCTGTGCGATATAAAGTGTAGTATGGTACACTCTATTCAGCTTGACACTTGACCGCCACAGCACGCGCTGCGACTCGTGCTTTGCCGCGTCTGCATCTCTTCCTTCGCCGCGCGATGGGTCTCTTGAGAGATACCCCGAAACGACATTTGGATGCGAGTCAAGCAGTGCAGCATGCAGCGACGATGTGACTTTTATTTGATGGTTCAGTGGTGGAATGCTCGCCTGCCACGCGCGCGACCCGGGTTGGTTTCCCGGCCTAAGCATCAAATGAATGTGCAGCACATACTGTAGTGTTATGCGGTTTTGTGGATTCTCGCTACGCTTTATGCGCCACCGAGGGCCCCAAACCGTAGCGTACGGGCTTCCGGTCACAGGGTGACCGTTGCACCGCAAAACGCGTGGCGATTTTCAAGTTTCTATACGCCACCACAATTTTTTGAACAGGGCCAACCGAGGGATCTCTCCATGAAAGGTCATATTTGGCTCTGTGAGAGTTGGAGGTCACACTGCATGGGACTGGGAGTGAATTTTTGAAAGAACTAATGTAAGTCAGGGTGCAAGGGTTTTCAGAGAGGCTTTCAACATTTTCAAGCAGTATGTTTCGGTCCCAGTCGCTACATCATAGTCGGAATATAAATAGCTCCTCACTGCTACTGGGCCGCCATGCATTTCGAGCCTTTGCGTTCTAAGGCCCCCTGTCAGATCTTATGAGCAGTCATCGGATTTTTAGAGAGAGACTCGGAAACGACAGCGGCGAAAATGGGGCTAGCGCTATTGGGCCAGCAGGGAGTTAGGGGAGGGGGGGGGGTAAATTTGCCAAACTCTTTTCATTTGTGACTCCACCTCCTCCTCTTCTTGATCCTGAGCCGCACTTTGGACACTTTCGTGCTAAAGATTCGGAACGATTCGGAAATCCCTTTGACTGTTGAAGAGATGGAGACACAGGGTTTGAACAACACCGTTTACTATATTGCCTATCTATTGTCATTCGAATTCAAAGGTTCTGTTCGAATCACCGAAAAAGCTCCAGGCATTTGATACCACGTAACCAGGGAATGTTTTCAGCTTCGTACCACTTTTCTAGTGAAAAATTCAAAAGGAATCCCTCTAATGGACCACAACAATAATGTCCTTCCGCGGCATTTGATGAACATCACAAAGTTTTGCCCTTTTTGATGCAGCAGTTTGAGCTGAACTCGTTAGATTTATTTGTTTTTTGAATGTGAGTGCGACGGGAGCGGATCCCTCGAGACCACCCGATAACTGCAGGCGTCTTCTCGAATTCTCCGCCTGCGACGGCAGCCACCAACCAACTCATAATCCGCTTTATAAAGCATAAAAGTATCGGGCTTTGATCAGTCTCTTTGAATACGCCACGCATTTTATTTCCATTAATAATCGCAGGGCATTTGGAATACGGTGTGGTCGATATAATGACTTGCCTGGGTCAGCCCATGCATGATTCAATGACTTTGACTTTTCACATAATCAAGTAAAAGTTGTACGACTCCGAAAGGGGGAAGACTTGCTTGACCTGACCGGCGCTTGGTAGAGGATCAGATCCTCAGACCCCGCGTGTGCTGAACAGCGCCACGTGCCACTTCACCACTTCCACCTTTCTGCTATGCTACGACCCTGACCAAATTATTTAAAGGCGGATTGTGGTGAGAAGGCAGCCCATTGAAATTAAGTTAGAGATAGTCAGTGGTGCACAATAGAAGAAAAAACCAAGAAAAACGGCCTAGCCCGAAAATGGGACCCCTTACTTACCCTTTGATTTACTTTAATGCGGCGTATGTTTAAGTGTATGCAGCCATGGAAACTGACGTGCATCAGGAGGTGCTTGAGGCTGAAGGGCGGATTGCTCAGTTGTTACTCCAAAACGCTGATATTCTATTCAAGGGCTTTTATCAAATCGACCTTCTCTGATTCACAAATATCTCTTATCTCTTGTGTAATCTCATTGGGGCTCTTTCGTGTG